ACAACATCACATTATAAACCATAACTCTATAACGATACAAAAGAAAAACATAGTAAACATATCATGGTAGAACCCACAAAAACGCATCCAAAATATTTTGCACCGTACTTAGTTGACCTAGTCAAATTTCATATGAGACAAACCACTTTATCAAGTTACAATACCAGCCACTCCCAAACCAAAAATATATATTGTGAGCAGGATGGCACTATTTAAACACAAGTTAGTTGATAAGTAGAACTATCAACTTGGCTGAACTTTATATGTGATGACAGGAAAAGATAAGATGCTACAGCAACAGTGCCTCAATAAAAATCTTGAGTCAACGTTGTTGAATGGGATTCAACTATCATCTCACCAATAATTCCCCACATATAAAATTAATTACATTATCATGCACTGTTTATACTGAGTTGTGTTCTGTTCGATTTTTTTAAGATGTCATTGTTTCAATCTTTAGCATCACTAGTACTTATACACAGTGAATAATCTTCTTCGTAGATATGTTGTCGACAATGTGTACTATCTGAACTAAGTCATATTATTATGGACGATAGACACGTGTTAAAGTCATTGCAGCATGAAACAGTTAATATATGATTAGGGTGAGGCCTAGGTTGGCTGTAAAAAATAGAGATTGAATACATATTTTATTTTACTTTATTTCGCTCTTTTAATTTTCAAGAGCAATGTTTTCTCTTTCTTTATTTTTATTTTTTTATATAATATAATTAGTTTAAATATTTGTTATTTTTGTTATTTTCTATTTCATTTGATTTTTTTTAAAATTCTTTTCATGCAAAATTTATGAGAAAAACTTTTAACTCCAACAAAATTTTAGTCCTATGTAAACTCAATTAAGTTCTTAATTTGTGTTGGATTTTTTTTTTGTGATGATTTGTTTTCTCTATATGAAAAATATTTGAGTTAAATTAATAAATTAACAAAACTTATACTAAATATTATATTTGTAGATATTTCCTTATAAATACCACATCAAATTAAAATGTTAAACGTACGAGATATGATTTTAAAAATAAATAGTTTTATATTATTAAATAATTTAATTATTTTCATTGATGACTTTCCTATTAATTAAAAATAAATATGTTCCTATATCATTTAATAGAAAGATTATATAGTTATGTCATTATTTACAACAAGAGTTAGAGATTGAAGTGTAAACGGAGATCAGGCGCAGATAGATGGCCATCAGGGACGCAAATGGAGGCCGTTGGATCGTGGTGAAGAAAAGGCCTTTCAGAAACTTGGTCCCCCACTGGGATACGTTTTCGAAAGGGGGCGATTTTGCAGCTGGAAACCTAATTTCAATCTACTTTTCGGAAATCCCAGATAATCACAAGGCGGAGGATTTATTTGGTATCTTCAGGTGTATTGGGGAAGTACAGGAGGTGGCCATAGCTCCGAGGCTCAATAGGATGGGTAAGACGTATGGTTTCGCGAAGTTCAGAGGCGAAGAAGATGGTCGTTTGTTAGCGGTGCGTTGCGATAACGTCCAATTTTTGGGGAAGAAGATACACACTGATTTACCCAGGTTTTCTAGGGTTTCTTCTTCCAGCAAACTTCATAGGGGCTCTAACAATTCGAGACCGATTCAGGATGGTTCTGTGAGAATCGATCTCAGGAAAGGCGCAGGTGGTGGATATCATCGACTTAAGGACAATCGCTCATTTGCTGAGGCGGTATGGGGTTCGGGCGAATTTTCTCGTTTGAAGATTGAAGAGGTTCAAAGTGACTTAACCTTCTGTGCTTCTGATGCTGTTAAAGAAAGATTCTCTAAGGCGTACGTGGGTCATCTTGTAGCTCCAGGGAGTGTCAAGGGTGTTAAAAAAATCCTAGACACGGAAGGTGGTTTTGGCCTTGTGGTGTCTCCGTTGGGGGCGTCGTCATGCCTGATTGAAGAAACCGTGGAAGGCGCTATAGACGAATTCATGGAGGAAGAAAACCACTGGAGGAAGGTTTTGTTTTCTGAGGTTTGTAAGTGGAATGTTAATTGTATTGATGAGTTCAGGTTGGTATGGCTGAATATTCAGGGATTACCGTGTCATGGATGGAATTCCGAAATTTTCATGGCATTGGGAAATCTGATGGGATACTTTATAAGCACTGATGAACACACATCCAGCGGCCGGGCATTTGACATTGCGAGGATTCTAGTTCGGGTAAAACTTAACGTGAGGATTAGGGATTTCCTCAAGGTGTCAATTGATGGAGATATTTTTGTGCTGAGAATTTCTGAAGAGAAACCATTTCAGCAAGTGACTTCGTCGGGTTCTTTTTACTCGGTGTTTTTGGATTCTGTGTCGTCCAGCTTTGTGGACTCTGATGAGTGGCCAGTGAGGCCTCTTCTGATTTTGAAGAGGAGGAGTTTTTTGAGAATGAGGGAGGGACGGGGGGTGATTCGGACAAGCAGGTTGAGCAGGGAGACAAAGGACCAAATTGCGATGCTGCTGTTTTATCTGGGAACAGTTCTGTTCCAGTTGGGGAGGATGATATCTACTCATTTTCTTCGACCGTTCCTAATAGTGTTTTGGGGAACTTTGATGAAGCAATTAGTAATATGAAGAAGGGGTTTAATCCGAGTGAAGTTCCAGGAGCTGCGCAGTCTGCAGGGCAGCTCGATGTGGGAAATAATATTAATTGTTTGTCTGCTGAATGCGAACTGCAGGTACCGGTTAACTCTGTCCCAACACAGAAGAAGGGTATCAAGAAAACAAAGGTTAGACACATGAAAGAATTAGGAGGTTTGTTAGGCTGGAAAGCGTCGTTTCCGGCGAAGAGAAGAAGAGGGAAAGGTACTGCGCAGAAACATATGCCGCAGGCGGATTATTTTGCTCATAAATCCGGTATTGTGTATTCTGTCCCAGACAGTGGTTCTATGGCGGATAGTAGTGGAGCAGGTTGGCAGAGGGAAGATATTGACATTCACAAGAATAACCAAAGGCAATGGGAGTGTATTGATCCGAAGGAGAATGGTAAATTACTAAAGGCAATTGAAAACCTTGGGATTTCTAATCCTAAGGGTAGACTTGAAATTGCAAAAAGAGTTGTAGAATTGATTAATTCTGAAACAGAGAAGGTTAATGGTAAGAAGGAGAAATCACCCGGTTTAAAATGATTATAGGATCCCTTAACATTCGTGGAGGAGGTAGCGCTCTGAAAAGGAGGAGGTTAAGTGCTATAATAAAAAAGGGGGAAGCGGATATGTTCTTGATTCAAGAATCCAAAATATCTAACATGGAGGATTTTGTTGCTTATAGTATGTGGAGCAAGATGGATGTGGAATTTTCGTTTTCAAATTCTATAGGTTTTTCCGGCGGCTTAATAACGTTATAGAAGAGTGATAAAGTGGAAGCGTTGAATAGTTTCAAGGGTGAGGGATTCTTGGGTACAAAGGTGATTTGGAAAGGCAAAATCTACTATGTGGTGAACGTATACTCCTCTTGCGTTCTTAGCAAGAAGAAAGATCTTTGGTCTAATTTGTTAAGTCTCATGGATAGTCATAAAGATGGAGAGTGGATTATTGGGGGCGATTTTAATGCCGTTAAAGATAGGAGTGAAAGAAAAGGGAGACAAGATGGGGAGAACACTAATGAGATGGAGCTTTTTGGCAACTTTATAAATGATAGTGGTCTAATTGATGTTCCTTGCAAGGGAAAGAAGTTCACATGGTATAATAGCAACGGTAATTCGATGAGTCGGATTGATCGATTTTTGATTTCTAACTCCATCGTGAATGATTGGGGAGTTACGGGACAACTTGTTGGTCCTAGAGACATTTCAGACCATTGTCCTATTTGGTTGGTGTCGGACAAAGAGAATTGGGGTCCAAAACCGTTCAAATTTAACAATTAATGGTTTGCGAAAGACGATTTCTTAGCCTTTGCGGAAAGGGAATGGAAAGACATTCATGTGGAAGGGAGAGGTGATTTTGTTCTTAAAGAGAAGTTGAAGATATTCAAAGATAGACTCAAATGGTGGAATAGAGAAGTTTTCGGTAAAATTGATTTGGAAGTGGAGGAAAGGGTGGGAGACATAAATGCGGGGGACGCTTTAGCCGAGACGGTGGCTCCGGGAGGTTTCTCTCTAGAAGATTCGAAATCTAGAAAGGAAGAGGTTAGCAAATTTTGGACGAATTTGAGGATAAAGGAAAACATGTTGGTTCAAAAATCTAGAATCAAATGGCTTAATGATGGTGATTCGAACTCCGGATTTTTTCATAGAGCTATTAAGGAAAGGAGAAGACATAACCATATTGGCCCCCTTAATGTTGCGGGGAGCATGATAGAGAAAGTGGAGGAAGTAAAGTTTGAGGTTCATAGGCATTTTGCTAGAAAATTTAAGGTCATGGAAGGTGAGGAATCGTTTCTTGAGGGCATTACTTTTGACAGCATTAATGAAGAAGATAGGATTTTTTGGAGGGTCCTTTTCTTGAGGAGGAAATTAAGGAGGCTATTTGGGGATGTGGCATTTCAAAAAGTCCGGGTTCGGATGGATACTCTTTCTTATTCATCAAAAGATGTTGGAGTTTCTTGAAGGATGACTTCTTTCGTTATTGCAATTACTTTCATTCGGGTGGTCGTATCTCAAAGGCGGTAACATCTTCTTTTTTATCTTTGATTCCTAAATCTACTAATCCGGTTACTCTTGATGATTATAGACTTATTTGTTTGGTTGGTTGCTTGCATAAGATTGTTTCCAAATTGTTAGCAAGTAGATTGAAGAAAGTTCTGGACCGTATTATCTCGCCTTGTCAAAGTGCGTTTGTGCCGGGTAGATTAATGTTAAAAGGTGTTTTGGTGGCAAATGAGTTGGTGGATTATGCTCGGAAGGAAAGAAAAGGGTGTGTTCTTTTCAAGGTGGATTTCGAGAAAGCATATGATAATGTAAGTTGGAATTTCCTTAGATCTATGTTAACGAAGATGGGCTTTGGTTTGTTGTGGAGGAAATGGATGGATAATCTTATTTTTCAAAGTAAGATGTCTGTTTTGGTGAATGGTAGTCCCACTAAGGAATTTGAGGTTGAAAAGGGTTTGAGACAAGGAGATCCCCTATCTCCTTTTCTCTTTGTTATTGTGGCGGAGGGTCTGGCGGGTCTTGTTAGGAAGTCTCAAGAGCTTGGTGAGTTTGAAGGCTTTATTGTTAATGGTAAGTGCATGGTGGATTTACTTCAGTTTGCAGATGACACCTTGATTGTGGGGGAAGGTACGTGGAAGCATGTGTGGGCGATAAAAGCGGTTCTAAGAGCCTTTGAACTTGTATCGGGTCTAGGTATCAATTACCACAAGAGTAAGTTGATTGGTGTTAATATTAGTTTGAGTTTCTTGGATGCGGCTTCCTTTGTGTTATCTTGTAGGAAGGAAGATAGTAGCGTTAATTTCCTTGGAATCCCCATTGGGTCCAATCCGAGGAAAGCATCTACTTGGAATCCTCTTTTGTTCAAAATTAAAAAGAGACTCTTGGGGTGGAAGAATCGTTTTTTATCTTTGGGAGGAAGGATAACTCTTCTCAAATCCGTCTTGTGTTCTTTATATATCTTCACATTATCTTTTTTCAAAATGCCAAGTGCGGTGTCTAAAGAAGTTAATAAGATTTTAGGCGATTTCTTGTGGGGAAGTGTGGAAGAGAGGAGGAAAATTCATTGGGTGAGTTGGAAGAAGGTGTGTCTCCCAATTGATAAAGGGGGCCTAGGTATGAAATACTTGCCGGATTTCAATGTGGCTCTCCTTAACAAGTGTAGGTGGAGAATTTTAAAAGGTGGAGATGAAGTGTGGCTTCGTTTATTGAAGGCTCGCTATGGTGACATTACTTCCGTCATATTAAGCAAAGGTACGCATTCTCTTGTCTCTAACTCTTCTCCTCCTCATTCTACTACTTCATCCCCTTCTTCTTCTTATTGGTGGAAAGACCTTATTTCCATCGGTAAATTTAGCCATTTGGATCCGATGGTTCGTTTGTGCAAATTCAAGATCGAAAGAGGTTTCACCACCCCTTTTAGGGAAGTGAATTGGACGGGTAATTTTTGCTTGATGGACGAGTTTCTGAACTTGTATAAAGAAACTAGATTGAGATTGGTTTCGGTAGCGGGTATGGGAGGATGGGTCAATCATGATTGGAGGTGGGGTGATATGGGTTTGGCCCCGAAGGAGGTTTCGGGAGGCAGTGGGCCGAACGGGCAGGAAGTAGGGTCTCTTTGTGAGCTGTTACAAGCGTTTGAGCCGGAGAGTAGTGGTTCGGACACGGTTTCTTAGGTTGGAGAATCAGACGGTCTTTTCTCGGTTGCTTCGTGTTATAAATTTTATGAGTTTTTTCGGATCCCGTTGGGTCCTCCGAATATTCATGATGACGCTTTTTGATTGATTTGGAAAGTTGAGGTCCCGTTCAAAATCAAAGCTTTTGCTTGGAGGTTATTTAATAATAGACTCCCAACAAAATATTTGCTAGCGACTAGAGGGGTAGTTTTTTCCGGTGAGAATTCTCTTTGTGTGTTTTGTGGGATTCACCCGAAAGATTGTGTTCATTCTTTTTTCAAGTGTAATGTTTTGAAGGTGGTTTGGCGGAGTATAGCAAATTGGATTGGGAAAAGTTGGAAAGAGGAAGATGATTGTTTTTGTAGTTTTAAGGATTGGTTCATGTATTGTAAAGATAACAATTTCAAGAAAGGAAAATTAGGTGTTGTGTGGTTAGCATTGATTTGGTGCATTTGGCTCACGAGGAATAGGTTTTGTTTCCGGAATGAAGCTTGGAATGTGAATAGTTTGATTTGGAACGTGAAAATCTTGGTTTGGAAATGGAGGCCTATTGGTGAAATTACTTATCCCAATTGTTGTTTTTATGACTTTAGTAAAGAGCCCTTATTCTTTCTAAAGTAGGTCTTCAATTTGGTTTGTAATTTCATGTTTTAAGGGTCTTGTCCCTTCCCTATTTTTGTAAGAGGTTTTTAGAGAACGCTTAGTTCTCTTTTATCAAATATATTGCTTGCTTACAAAAAAAAGGCAAAATATCCTTCTTGGTCCCTTAACTATACCTCGGGGTTCATTTTGGTCCCTTAACTTTAAAAAGTTCCATATTGGTCTGTTAACTCTTCAAACGTTCCATATTAGTCCTTTTTGACCTATTAGCGACGGATTTAGCGACGATTTTTTGATTTTTTTCCGTCGCTAATAGGTCAAAAAGGACTAATATGGAACGTTTGAAGAGTTAAGGGACCAATATGGAACTTTTTAAAGTTAAGGGACCAAAATGAACCCCGAGGTATAGTTAAGGGACCAAGAAGGATATTTTGCCTAAAAAAAAATATAGTTATGTCATTTTATTATTCTAATAAATTTTTAATATTTTGGATCAAGAAAGTTAAAAAAATGAATATAGTTATGCCAGTTTATTTTATTTTAATTTTTAAAATAGATGATCAAGATTAATCTAATGGTTTCAAATGATTATGTACACTCTCGAGTGAATAAAATATTTCAAAAAAATATTGACTAAAATTTATATAAAAAATAAAAAAAAAAGTTTATTATTATATGTGTGTCGAGTTGTTTAGATGTCGAAGTGTCGAAGCAAGTTGTTTGACACAGAATTTTGACTTAGACCAAAAATAGTAATTTTTGGACTTTCTTCTATTATAAATAGAGGGAATAACCCTTATTTTATAATAACTTGAATTCACAGTTTTGTAGTTGCAAACTGAATAAGAAATTTTCAGTTTGGAAGCAGAGAGAAACTCTACAAAAAAATTTCTTCTCTTATTTTCGTCTTGCCCTAATCATCTTTCTTGTTTAATCTTTTTTCCTTCTTCCATAAAAATTAATGCGTGTAATCTTTCTTGCAATCAAGATTGATTGTTTCACTTAAGTGAAGAACAAGGGTTTTGATCAAGTTGATTGAATCTTGTTTATTAAGATTGATTAGGAACTCTCAAAAGGTTTTTGGTTAATTCCAACATCTGGTATCAGAACTCGGATTGTGATTTGATGGAAGAAAATCACGATGACGCTGAATCATCCAAACATGCATTTTCCAGCGAACCTTCCAATTCTCAAGAACAATAGTTATGGGAATTGGTGCAAGCAGATAAATGTGGTTTTCTGTTATCAAGATCTTTGGGATCTTATGATGGGAGAAGTAGCACCGCTTACAAAAAAAGCGACAGATCAAGAAAATGATGCATACAAAGAACTGAAGAAGAAAGATTATAAAGAAAATAAGTCATTCAGATGCTGCATACAAATATCTTGTGAAGGGAGGAGTAGAACCGCTTGCAGAAAATGTGTTGATCCAGATAACTTTGAAAAGGTTAGTGATGTAGAATCAGCGAAAGAAGAATGAGAAATTTTGGAGAAATTGTTTGGAGGTGCAAAAAAGGTGAAAGATGTGAGGTTACAAACTCACAAAAGGACGTATGAATTGCTTCAGATAGAAGAAAATGAAAGTATAATTGATTTCTTCACTAGAGATATTAAACTGGTGATTCAAATTAAGGTATATGAAAAAGTGTTGACATTAAAATCAGTTGTTGCAAAGATCTTGAGGTCATTGACTCCAAAGTTCGACCACGTGGTAGTATCCATATAAGAGTCGAAAAACTTGTCAGCATTGACGAAGAAAGAGCTTCAAGGGACGCTTGAGTCTCATGAACAAAGAATGGTTGAAATAGCTGCAGGAAATTCAAATAGTCACATGGCTTTGAAGGTGCAGTCAGAAAAAAGAAAAGAAAGGAAAAGGAATTTGGAATGGTAACAAAGGCAGAGGAGGCTACAACAATTCGAGTAGTCAAACTCAGCAGAAAGGAAATTGGTCGAATAAGAGAAAACCCTGGAACCAAGGCAACCAAAGAGGTTGTGCTCCAGGTAAAGGAAGGGGTGGTGGTCGAAAACCTGACAAAAGTCACATTCAGTGTTACAATTGTCATAAGTATGGTCATTATTTTAGTGATTGTCTAGAAAATAAAAAGAATCAAGAAACTGATGCAAAGCTGGCAAAACACGAAGAAGAAGAGATGTTTCTGATGGTCACAAGAAGAGATGAAGAAAGATTCTAGGATCAATGGTACTTGGACTCGGGATGCTCATCACACATGACTGGAAAGAAAGATTGGATTGTCAAAATAAAGCCCTCGATGAAGAACATGGTGAAATTTGAAAATGACAATACTCTAGCAGCTGAAGGTATAAGTGATGTTCTGATTATGAGGAAAGATGGCAAGAGGTCAGTAATTTCTAATGTGTTGTACATATTAGGCATGAAGAGCAACTTGCTCAATATATGGCAGTTGGTCGAAAAGAATTACAAGGTGTCGATCAAAGAAAAGATAATGAGAGTTCTCGACTCAGGTGGTAAGTTAATCTTTAAGGCTCCAATATCTTAGAATAGAACCTTCAAGATTGAACTTAATATGGTGGAGCATAAGAGCCTTGCAACTGCAGCCAGCGGAGATGAATGGATATGGTATTATCGACTTGGCCATCTCAACTTCAAAGAGATCAGTGAGTTGAAGAGAAGAAATATGGTTTTAGGATGACCAAAAATCGAAATTCCAAGTGAAGTGTGTGAAGAATATGTTAAGACGAAACAACGCATGAATAGATTCAGCAAGGATGCAGGAAGCAAGTCGAAGGCAATTCTTGAAGTCATATACTCTGATGTATGTGGTCCTATCCAAGTGGATTCGATTGGAGGTAACAAATACTTTGTCACGTTCATAGATGATTTCAGTCAAAAACTGTGGACTTACCTTATCAAGAAGAAAAGTGAAGTGATTAAGGTATTTGATAAATTTAAATCTATGGTTGAAAGGCAAAATGGTCGAAAGCTAAAGATTCTGGAGAATGATGGTGGTGGAGAGTATTTGTCGAAAGATATTGATGTATTATGTAAGAAGGGATTATGCATGAGGTGGTGCCACCCTACACTCCACAGCAGAATGAAACTGCAGAAATGAAGAATAGAACCATCATGAACATGGTGAGAAGTATGTTGAAAGGAAAACATCTACCCAAAGAATTATGGGAAGAGTTGTGTCGACTATAACATACATCTTGAATAGATGTCCGACGAAGAAGCTAGAAGGAATCACGCCAGAAGAATGTTAGTCTGGTGTCAAGCCTAGCCTAAGTCATTTGAAGGTGTTTGGATCTATAACACATATATATGTGCCAGATCAGTTGAGAAGAAATCTTGATGATAAGTCGAGTCAAATGATCCTAATAAGATATCATTCGAATGGAGGATACAAGTTATTCGACCAGTGAACAAGCAAGTAGTGATCAACAAGGACATGATCATAGATGAGCTTAAGGAATGAGATTGGACTGAGAATGTTAAGAAGGATTCAGTGAGAATCTTATATGAAGAACCAGCTAGTGAAGTCGAAAGAGAAGTTTGACAAGAAGAAGTCAGAAATGAAAGCAAGCCCAAGCAAACCTCAACGAACAAGACACATGCCTGCAAGGTTGCAAGAATGCATGATTACATCATATGATATGGTCGATGATGAAGGTGAGCTGGTACACTATGCCTTCAATGCATATGTCAAACTAGTCAATGCAGCTGAGGCATCAAAAGATTCGAAGTGGGTGAAAGTAATGAATGAGGAACTAGAGTCCATCGAAGCCAACAACACCTAGTCACTTGTCAAATTGCCTCAAGGCAAGAAGGCAATCGATGTGAAGTGGGTATACAAGGTGAAGTTGAATCCTAAAGGAGAAGTAACGCGATACAAGGAAATACTTGTGGCGAAAGGATTTCTTCATAAAGAAGAAATCGACTTCGACGAAGTTTTTGCACCTCTTGCTAAGATTGAGACAATTAGGTTGGTTATTGGTCTAGAAAACATGAAAAGTTAGCACACATATCAGATGGATGTGAAATGTGCATTTCTGAATGACCCCTTAGACGAAGAAGTTTATGTTTCGCAACCAGCTGGGTTTGTGAAAAAAAGCGAAGAAAGAACGGTGTACAAGCTGCATAAAGCCATGTATGGACTTAAGCAAGCTCCAAGATCTTGGAATAAGAAGATAGATAGCTTTCTAAGGGAGAAGGAAATTGTGAAGTGCACGAATGGACATGGAGTATGTATAAGGAGAAGCAATAGTGAATTGCTTAAACTATGTCTCTATGTCGATGACCTGTTGATAATAGAAAGTTGCAAGAAGGAGATCGAAGATTTCAAACATGACCTAAGTGAGGAGTTTGAAATGTAAGACTTGGGAAATCTCTCATATTTACTTGGCATCAAATTCTAAAAACA